TTAAAAGGTCATTTCTGTGCTGACCTTAACGTCTTTTACTTCCGATTGTGCTCGCATCTCAGCCCATGCTTATGAAGCTCTTCTAATCTGCAAATATCTTCGCCCCTTTTTTTTGAACGTCAAATTTGTGCTGTTTAGACTAGTGTTAATATGATTATCACACATTTTTATCACAATTTTTTTTTTCATGATACAAATGGTGTCTTTCACATGCTCTCAAGGAGGGCGTAGTAACTGCTGTGCCGGCACAATCAAATTTATTGTATTGCACGTGGAAGACAGCCTTTCTTTACAGCGATCAGCGGCATTAAAGTGGCACTTTAGGGTTTGGGGGCGGGTTGGAAAGCCTTGGGAAATGGTGGGAAGCGTGTTAATGAACCCCGTGGAGAAAGAATTACGCCCTACAGCAAGTTTAAGTACTTGTGTTGTAGTTTAGCTTTCGTCGAATGTGCACAAACCATTGGCAGGTAGCATCAAAGTCCTCTAATCTGCTTTTTCAATTTCCTAGGCTTTCACCTCTTTTTTTGTCTACGGCAATTTAGCTTTGGATTTTGGCCTTTCCTCGTCCCTGTTTTACAGTTCACATTTTCGTTGACCTTCAGCCTCTCCTGCAATCCTGTAATTATTCAACCATCCTGTAATTTTGTTTTTATGTTTTTTTTGTTGGTAAAAGACAAATTTTGAAGTTGAGATTGTGTCAGAATTGAAGAGTGACAACCTACCACCTGCCATTCCTAGTCTCACAGCCTTGAAACCCACTTTACTTCTATCAACAGGCGTTAAGCAAGAAGGCTTCTATTTCAACGACACCAAAAAATAAATACTAAAATATTTTATTCATTTGGTAGCTCAATGAAGTCCACTTTGTCTGGTGTGTTAAAAAGCAAGACCATCTCAATGCCATTCAAATCTTTATGACTACACACACACACACACACACACACACGGAGAGAGAGAGAGAGATGCCATCAATTTAATCGGTATTTGCCTCCTCCTTTTCGCAGCACCTTAAATGATGAAGTAGGAATGCACCCACCCACACACACACACACACACACACACACA